CCCCAAAACCCCAAAACCCCTTGAGATTATTATAGACCAACACTTTAAAAAAGCATATTTCATCATTATAATCTAATCTGAATTAATTATATTTCAAGAAATGAATAAGCATTAAACTAAACCCTCTGCTGCAAGCAATTTAGCCACAGGAGCAGGAGGTATTTTTGAGGGTGGAGTGATTTCTAATACCTCAGATATATTAGATATCAATCTAAGCAAATCTTACAACGCTTAGTACAAAATAACGCCAGCATCTTTGCGTAGAAACAAGCAAAGCCGAGAACGAGTGAATTATCATTTAAACAAGTCAACTGACTACGAGCAGAAGAACAGTTTGAATCAGGATTTCAACATAGTCTACACTGATGACCAGCGAGTAGGTATAAATGATAGTCAAAGAATGAATTAAAACCATAAGTCTAGAGGCAGGAACGAACTTAATTATACTTAGATCCAAGAAAGCCCAGATAGCATAGGTGGAGAATTTTTGCAGATAAAGAATAGTTTAAAACCTTAACAAAGCTTGTTACCAGAGGAGAGAAAAACGATTGAAGATAATAAAAGTATTAATAACGATGGAGGTGATTCATCAATGCCTCCTCTAAGATAGGTAGTCATGACCGCATATTAGAATAATAGGTATGAAGGGGGCCCTTAAAACTAGCCGCAAATGAATTTACATTAAAAACGTTCTACTATGGGAAAGCTAGACAATCTAAACTCAGCATACAACAATTTAAATAAAACTACAAATGATGGGTAATCAAATCATCTAGGAACTGAGTCAAGCAATCCAAGTCAATACACTTCCAGTCATCATTTTGTAATGAATAAATCGATTGATAAGAAGAGTGCCAAGCAGTAAAACTAAAATCTCATTAAAAAGTATAAGCCAAAGGAATCAGATACGCATCCTTATGATTCTCAAATTGATGAAAAAGTTCCAATTGTTAAATCCACTTCAATCAGAATTGAAAAGTAACAGCAGAATCAAGCCAATATAAATAAGATCATTTAGAAACAATCCAGATCTTCTAGTAGGTCTTTCTTTTCAAGGAGACCTAAAACAGTCTAATAAATGCTTGAATTTCATTCAAGCAATAAGTATAATAGTTAACTCAATAAAATATTCGAGAGAAAGTACAGCACTAACGTAGATGAAAATGAATCATTAGAAAGGATTGAGTAGGAACCTCCAACTGGAAGAGAAAGATCTTAACAAAATATAAATAAAACTTATGAATCTAACTCAAATGATTATAATCCAACTGTGGTGCTAACTAACACATTATTCAAGAACTCAGGAGGCGCTGGTGGCGGTGGAAATTAGTTCTAATCTTTTAAAGAGGCTTTGAATCAGTAGCTAGATTCATAGAATATTTTGTAGAAAAGTTTCTAATCTGCTGAGTAGATTAAGTAATAAACAGCAATCAATCAGAAATTAATGAGAAAGCAAATAGAGTAGATCAAGGCTAGGCTAGATCAAAGAGAATTTGAGTTTGAAAGTAAATATGGGCTGAATCAGGAATCTGAGAAGCAGTTCAATATTGATAGGAAAGAAATGTAAAGAGAACTGATTTCGATATATGAGGAAATCTTAAATGAGTATTAGTCGAAAATTCTTAAGAAGTAAGGAAGTCAACAGCAGCTAGTGGATAGATTATTTTAAGGGATGAAATAATCCATGCAAAAAATAAATAACTTATCTGAGCTTGAGATTCATTAAAAACATCTAGATATTCAGAGTCTTAACAAAGAGATTGAAATTCTCAATAAGCATAACCAAGCTTTATAAGAGAAACTTGATATGGAGCAGGAGTATCTAAATAATATGTTTGAAAAGGGAAAATAAGAAAATCTCCATAAAATGGTTACTGAATGGGAATCAATGAAATCTTTACAAGAGCAGCTTAATGAGACTAACTTCTTATCAAACACTTTGATGAGAAAGAAAACTTCCAGAGGATTTAATGAGGACATCCAAAATTTAGTAAATTCAGAAGAGGGGTAGCAATTTTTAAATGATTACTCTGGAGTAATTATACAACTTAAAGATCTCTACTCAATGATGAGAGGCAATGTCTTTTATGACAAGCAAGGTGACTTTAATCTCGATATAAAGACTGAACTTGTTACAGATAAAATAGAGAACGAAATGCAAGAGAAGTTCAAAAATGTTTAAAGTGCAACTGCAATGAAAGTCTTAAGAAGATTCTATAAAAAAATAGTGTTTGTAGACTAATCAACTTAAGTTGAAGAAGATCCACTAGAAATAGAGAAACAAAAGCTTGAGAGATTGATTAATCATCTTAGAAATGATAGAGATAATGATCTCAGAAGAATCAGTTAGCTCTAAATGAATATTGAGTAGATGTAAAAATCTCACAATACAGTCTAAGTATAATATCGCGAAACGAAATCTATGCTTTCATTAAGAGAAGATTAGCTCTAACAAAAAGAAGGTGAGATGAAGGAGATGAAGGCATCCTATAAGTATCTTAATGACTAAATGCTCAAATTTTAGGATTAAGTCAAGGAACTAATGATTAAGTGTGATGAATATGAGCAAAAGGTTGAAATGTATAAAGAGAGCCTCTAATTCCTTGAGAGTAAGCATAAAAAAAGGAAATCTAAGCTTGCTATAATAAAAGAGGAGAAGGTTAATCTAAATCACAAAGTTACAGAACTCTAAAATCAAACAGATGAAATGTAGAAATCCATTAAAACTTTATAAAAAGCAAATGATCCAGAGAGGAAACGAATAACTATGGTGAAAAAGCCTATATTTGATGCTAATGGCAATTAAATTGGTGAGGGTCTTGTGGAGTAGGTAGTAACAATGAGAACAGATGACTCAATGGGTTATTTGAAAAGTATGCAGTATTCAAACAGAAATAAGTCTGAAGCGGAAGAAGACAGTGAAAGTGATCTAGGCTCAGACTTCAGTTTAGATTCTTAAGAGAAAGCAGAATTTGAAAATCTTTTAAAGGAATAAGGTTTAGATTAAGAATTCATGAAGGTTAATAGAGAGGAGTTAGATAATAAGATTAAGAGTTGGTTTAGAAATAGCAATACAGATATGGACCAACTTAAGGATCAAATAGCTTTGGAGTTCAGAGAGAAAATTAGGATAAGCAGGAAATTAAAGAGACATGATGACAATTAGAAATAAAGAGAGAGAAATAGATCATCTATTGATGATCAGAGTCATAGAGTTAACTCTTCAAAGCAAACAAAACGAACCAGCTAGGATAATATGGATAGTAAGCATTTGAGAGTGAGCGATGCCAAACCCCTGAACAAAAAGGCTCCTCAACTCAACAGCAAGCTCTCACCTAAAGAATCGAGAAATAGTCCATCCATTAAAGTTGAGAGAAGTGAAAGTAGAAATAGAAAAGAAAGACCATCTCCAGTATAAAACCCAAACAAAATTGAAATAGCTGATAAGAAGCCATAGACCCCTGCAAAGTTAAAGCAGTCAAGAAATGATAATAAACTGGATCCAAAGAAAAATTTGACTTAGCAAAGCAATCAATCTAAATAGATAAATAGCAAAGATATTAGCAAGACAATGACTTCTGATAATAAATCAAGAAAGAGTTAGAATTAAGGAGCAAGTCTCAAATCCTAAAAGACTAATAGCAAACTTAAAAGCAGTAATACTGAGAAAGAAAGTTCAATAGACAAGAGTTAAAATAAAGAACCAGTCAGGGAACTTAAGGAGACTATTGAAGTATTTGATGAAGATTCACCCTAATTTAAAAAATAAGAAGCTCTAGATAATAAGTAATCATAATAATAACTAAACAAGTAGTAAACTTTCAACTAGTTAAACCAGCAATCTTCAAGATCAAGAATAATATCAAATGACACATAGGATTTAGAATTAAATAAATAACAAAGTAAAGATACCCTAAATCATTAAAATGAAGAATAAAGCAACAGATAGTAGCTAAATCAACAATAAAACTACGAATCTCCTAGAGAACCTAGAGTCAAGATTTCCCATAAATCTAGAGATGACCTGTCATAAATGAGTGATAATTAAGCTGCAATTTCAGATGCTAAGAGATCTCAAGGTTAGGATAAAAGCAGGTAGAGTCTCTTTAATTAGAGCTTGAATCAAATGTAGCTGTAAAACTAAATAGCTTCAACAAATCCCACAAAGGATTCATTTGAGAAATCGGCTGATCACTCTCTCAGAAGAGGATTCACATTAAATTAAAGAGCTTAGTAGAATGCTTCCTCCTTTAATGAAGATTTCTTCAACCTATAAAGACCCCAAGAAAAGTCTCATTCATTTTTCTAAAACAGAACAAATATGGCTTTTGTCAATTTGAATTCAAAGCAAGTCCAGACAGATCTCACTGGAGAAGTTATCAGAAAGCCAAATGCTCAAGGGTTAAGTGGAGAGACCATTCATACATAGACTGAAGAGTTTATGTTCCCAATGGATGAGGATCTTAAACGGAAAGTGATGGACTTGATTGGTGGTAGATTAGCAAAATACGGTGATACTTATAACAAAGGCAGCTCATTTTTCACTAAGGCTGTATAAATAATGGATGAACTAGATGATAAGTTTTTGATTGATGTTGGCATTGAGGGAGGCATGAACGATAAAGATTACTGCAAACTAAGAATAGCTAATGGCCTCCAAGATCCTAGATACAAATCTTTTAAACCAGTGCTCAAACAAATCAAGAACTAAAATTCAAAGTAATGAGCTAATTTGGAATACATCCCTTATCAAGAAATTAGTTGATTTTGCTATTTAAAAAACTTATCAAGTTTTACCTTACTAAATTTATTTAATTTTAATAACAATTACTACAATATTTAAAGGGGTTTTGGGGTTTTGGGGTTTTGGGGTTTTGGGG